ATGTACATGTATTTAAAGGCTATGTACATGTACATGTATTTAAAGGCTATGTACATGCACATGTGGATGCACACGCATATTTACAAGGGTACACACAAACTTGTACATATGCATGCATTTGATCTTCATAAAAATTCAAATGTTGTGAAGAGGGCTGACATTTCACTTGAAAAATATCTGGACCCTAATTCAAGTGGCTGTTACAGGAGAGAAAAACTACAAGACTGCTGCTGGACATGCTGAGAGAATTCAAAAATTATGTCTATTGTGAGTCTAGCTCATCACACAAATTGAACAGATAACACCAACACTGGACGCGCCTTGGAGTTGCAGGAAAGATCCCTTTTGTGCTGTAAACTTTTTAGAAGGTACATGTACATCAATGCTGTTCAGCAGAATAAATGCTGGCCAAAAAATACCAGACCATTGGGCTTTTATGGTTATGGCCTGTGCAAGACCAGCACCAAATTCAATGGCTGCAGTACAACCCTGTTTAATCAAACACTTATTTGCGCTGTGCAAGTACCGTAGTTGTGCTACTGGGAGAGCCTTTTTGTATCAGGAACTTGAAGTCGGCACAATGGTTTTGTTTTCAGTGACTCAATTTTTTTTTCCTTGGCCTACATGTACAAAACTGAAATCACTGAGTCATTTCAGTCAAAAGCACAAATCATGCAACAAATGACTCAACATGGCCTCTCTGATACAGTTCAGAGACCATGTCACCTCTAACCATGGCCACAGAAATGTACATGTCTCAAAGTGAAAGAAACAGAAACTGCATACATAAGGGACTTGCAACTGTCATTAAGAACTGTCCCAAAGTTGAAGACTACCGGTACATGTAGGTCACCCTCTAGAGATTTTAACAGAAAGATGACCCATATTCCAGACTGCACAAACTTGGTGAGCAAAAATACAGAGAGGCTGAATCAGACAGAAAAGGCTGGGCAATATAAAGCATGCAGTATGTGTGTATTTTATGCTCTGATCTTGGAAATACTAGGGTATTAACTACATATATGGCAGCAGATGCGTCTCTTACACCGAGTGCACAGACAGGAACATGACTGATGGCAAAAGCAAGTTTTCATCAGCACCTGTAAAATGTATCAATTTACCCCGGTATTAATCAAAATTGTACTGCAAAATCTTTGAGGAAATCTACTGATATCCATTCCGTATATTGACCGTCGAGATCGAGGGGCCATTTGTGAGTGCAAACTTTCCTCATGCACATGGTGGAATCTCAGCAGCATTTATTACATGTGCAGCTTTTTTTCACCTTTTGCATATTTTTTTTCACCTTTTCCATATATGTTTTACATTAATGACACATTTCTGGCTTGATATCACTCCCAAAATTACTACAAACGACGCTGCGCTAAATGAGGTGGCAGCCATGTTAGGACCACAAAATGTACAGGTACCTTTATATACACGTACATGGGGTCTGATCATGTTACATGTAGTCCAAAGAATGTGCAAATAACGGCGCTAACCTTACATACCTAGTGGGGACTTGTGAACAAAAGATGTCCACACAGAGCAGGAAGACGTTCTGTGGACCTACCTACACATTTCCACAGGACGTTTCCGCTTCTCAGAAAAAGAAGGTTAGAGGCATTTGGGGGTAGGGGTCATCCGTCGTAAAAGGAAGAGGAATAGTCAAGGAAACCTTGTACAAAAAGCCAGCTGAAAATCGTGTTCCCAGTTCCCAAAAAACAAGTATTTTCACCGAGTTTTCTTAACTGCACGAAAAGAACGTCCACACTAGGTATGTAAGGTAAGTGTGGGTTGACTAGCGACTGTGATGGATGTGCTCACTTCTGTTACTCAGATTTCTAGCTTATGTCAGCTGAGTTGTGAGGGCATCAAGATTTTTTTCAGGAATTTGAGTCTATAAAGTTGAACAAGTGCATACACGTAAATTTATACAACTAGCACATGGATATAAAATGAACGCTGTAATGTAATGAGTAGCACTGGACAACACGCACAGCAACTACATGTAATTATTCTTAGAGTTGTCTCGGTTGACTGGCCATGTGTGCATTGCAGTATCGAGTGACAATTTTAAGGTGCAATACACTCAGTAGAAAATCAAATGTGTGACTGCTGGAAGAAATCCTGCACGTTTGTGTGTATTGCAGTGAAGTTTCCCAATGCCTCTCGGGTACAGGTACTGAACATGTACAAATGTGTATGTGCCCTGACAAATGCTCCAATTAAATACAATACACCTGGGTGTTAATGTCCATGTACACGTATAAACATCATTCAAGAAAAGGTCCTCTTACATGTATATGTACATCCCAAATCTGTAGTTTACCCAATACCGAGTGAAGCAAAATGATTTTGTTGAATAATTCATGATCCATGACTATTAATACTTGAATAGTAACTAGGCCACAGATAAAAGCATCCCGGAAGGGGAAGGTGGAGCTGGCTGCCATATTTAGGAGGCAACTATTTGGCCTTTTGATATGATACCATTCCCCACATTCCATTAATTATTCCCTTCAGCAAAATTTGGCAGGTTTACTGACAAGTGTACTGGTACTATCCCACTGCAATATTCTCCATTCGATGGACAGCTTGAAAATGTGTGTTTGTTTCAAAACTAAGGAATACACTGTACAAATATCTAGGCTTTTTCAGGGCTTCATTTGTTCTTTCCTTATGTCCAGCTTCTTGTGCATGTACACTGTACAATCTAAGCACTGCCACAAATTAAAGAGTATATATATGAAATACATGTACCTTCAAGGTTGTTACTTATGGCTATGATAGCATTTACAATTGAGCAAGTCTGTCAGATATGGTCTGAGACTTTACAAATGTCCATGTCTTAGTGGGATGAAGGTCTAGTGCAGTTACATGAATGGTATATACTGCCACACGAGCAATATTTCCCAGATTAGTACATGTACATGCATATTTTGAATTTTTTCATGAGTGCAATATACATGTACATGTACTAATAAATAATATAATAAGACTAGTTTTATGAGGAAATAGATTCAATTTTTTTCCCACTGCACTTATGTGAAATTTCTTTTCATGCAAACTGAATAACATGTACATGTAACCCCTGCATCACCTGAAATTCCTTCTGTATATAACTTGATATACATATGCTTATTCAATGCTGACACAAGTCAGAATGTATGTGTACATTAGGCTGCACCAGGAGGAAACTAAAGGGTTTATGGGAGCACTGGTACAAGTATGTTGGCTTTCAATCAGACTGTCAGAAGTGGACAGAAATTTTCCTTGTACTTTTTTTTTTTTTTACTAAAAACTGCAATTAAAATCGAAACAGAAAATGAATACATGATGCAAAGAAGAGGCTTTCAATTGGTGAACTACCAATTTGGTTATGGTCAGCCTTCTTGACCGTATCTGTCAGCATACTTCTTTGTGGCTTTAACGTTTGCTTACACTCAATAATGTTGGGAGACCATACTTTGTCTTTGAGCTCATGAAAACGCTGCGATATTCTGAGACAGCCCTGAGGATGATTACTTTTAACATGTCCATGTTTAGCATCCAAGACTTGTGAGCTATGTGTTTACAGTTTACAATTTAGAGTGTGCTTGAATGCCATCACGTACATTGAGGGCCTACGGTCTATTTATCTGACCAATCCCCCCACAACAGCATCTGGTATGAGCACACATGCATCTGTGTTGATGCATCTTTCATTTAAGCTTTATACCAGTCTGTCAGAGAGGTGAAAACTACATATGTTCATGTACACTCTAGGTCTTCAAGATGACTTTTGGATCTAAGAGAAAATGGCGTTAATATTCACTAAGTTAAAGAGATCCCATGTAACGGGCTGGCCTTAACAGAACGCTGCTTTGTGTACTGTACAACGGACAAAAATACAGAGATATTGCATGGAGGAATGTGCCAAGTATTTGGCTATGTCATCACCTTAAAATAAAAATTGAACTAGCGGAAAAACTGGACTGTCTTGTCGAGTGAATTGCAGCCCTTAGTGCCTGTGGTAAGGCACTTCATTTTATGCGCACCTCAGGACAATTAAAATTTCATACAGCTATAAGTATTTTCCACATGCATGTACGTGGTACGTCAGCATGTTTGGATGTTAATTTTTCTAGAGGTGCATTTACGCATAACCATATGGTTATGGATAATGACCTGGCCGAAATTGAAGCACACAAACTGGGGACTCACTACATGTAAAGTGCATGGTGCCTTGTTCAGCACTAGGCCTACTGTAAACACTTGTCATTTCTGCCTTGAATTTTCCTGCATCCTTCTAAATTCTCCATTGTAAAGCGACCCAATAGCAGGGCAAGGTATTTTTAAAAAACCATTCCAAAGCCCCAAGCAACAAGTACAAAATTACATTGTAAAGTTGAACATTTATCGTAGCAGCAGGGCTACCGAATCCTCCAAAGTCTTTGAAAGCATCCCTTACATACTGTCGTGCATTTCGAAGAGCCTAAAATGAGGACAGAAGGGGTGATGTTAAAGAGATCATGGAAGGGGCGTGCATTAAGGTCACAAATCGAACAGGAAAAGGCAGTTTCAAAATCTGACACACAGACATCCAACTGCGACGGGGAGGGGAAATCCAACGTTTGTGTATTTTTTCTCTGCTTTCCTCGTATCGCCTATCATATTTCAATAATCGTACACGTACATGTAATGTGAATACATATTTGTAGGACCGTTCTAAGAACTAGCACAGTAACTCTTGTCCCTGGGAACAACACTCAACTATCCATATGGCGACATTTGACAGATCAGCCCAGTAGACAATCAGGAGTTTGGACAGGGAGGCGACTCATTTCCTGAAGCAATGATAAACATGTACATCTACATGTAGCAACGAATAAAGTTTGAAGAGGAAATTTCTAGGTCATGAGTGACTATTTTTTTCACCTGTCATCACCCACTCCCTGTCATACATGTATATATGTATGTAAATGCTAATACACAACGATGTGTACACCCCCCCCAAAAAATATAAAATTTTTGCAGTTTTGCATTTGCAGTATCCTTTGAAAGTTTGATCCGAAATACAAAACTGCAAAACCTGTCCTGCTTATCTGTAAACTTGGAAAATTCCTGGCACCAAACAACTACAGGGTACAAAAATAATAAACCACTATTTGGCCTACAGCTGCTGCAAAACACTTGTTATGGATAAGTCTCAAGAAGTAAATAAAAATATTTTATAATTTAATGCAAAAAACACCTGCTCCACTAGTCCACTCATACATGTACATTTAGTACTGATCAAACTGCATGCCACCTTTTGGCAGCCAGTTGAATGGCAAGATAACAGTATGGAATGTTCAAAATATGAGTATTTCACAAAAACAATTCAGAGATTGTGCGGCCTACATGTAGGTTGAACCTTTATGATTTATGATTTTTTTATTGGATACTTTTCAATCGGTGTCCATAAAGGGTAGGGTAGTCAATTACAACCCTTCTAATGTTGCCATGCACAGCACTACGAATGCGCTCAAGTCTTTTTATAAACTACGGTACTTCCCAGGGAGCTGTATGATATTGTCAACATTGACATTCTCCCAGTATTTGACCCCGCGATCCCTGCATATTTCTATGCCACACATTCAGTCATGGTCTGCAGCGTGCCGTTAAGTCTACTGTTCAGCTTGTTATATACATCCACGTACGTACGCTCAATGCAGGAAATTCATCACACGCACATCAATAGCTTATTTTCTACACATGTATGGGTACAATGCAACAGAGCAACATTTACATTTTACAGCAGACAAAATCACTACGGTTGGGTACCTACAATGTCCGTTGACACATTTAAGTTAAATTTTATTAGTTTGGTTGTAATTGGTATTATTAAAACCTGATAAGTGAGGGAATGAGGGGTGCCGGGACACAAGCCGATAATAGCAAGTACTTTCAACGGGTCATTAAGGTCACTTTCCACGTGAAAATACATACATATCGAAAAAAACTGAGGACGGGGAAATAGCTTTCCAACCATGATCTGGATTAATGAACTTTTCAAAATGAAACCTGTGAATGTGAACTTTAATAAACCATGCATAACAAAACTTAGAACTTAGTTGAGAAAACGCTGCTTTCCTGGACTGAAGGAAAGTGGCAGAATTACAATCAGGGTACTTACTGTACATTTCCATTTAAACAAGCCACATACACACACGAGTCATCAATTTTGATTCAACAACAGCTCCTGGGCTTCTAACAGACTGGAATTCTCCAAGCATTTTTTTTTTCTAGTCTGTGCGAACTTTCAACAGAATGGCTGTGGGGCAGATTCTCTGTTACACAGTGTAGGCATGTCATAGTCAACAGGAGAGTACTTGATGTAAATTCAGTGTTCAAGGGGGTTGGGAAAACCCACAAACAGCACAGTAGATCAGTAACAGTCCGCATGGAGGCGAGACAGAGTAAACTACCCATTGGGCTTGAAACCATATCGTAAGAAGTATACATGTAGTCAGCCGGGTCTGTTCAAATATTCAAATATTCAACCTTCCATTCAACTGAATATTGAAGAAGTCGATAAAACCAAATTCAGTCATTCCGTTTCCAAACAGGGATTCTGTCACCTTATACAGAAGGATGGGAGTCCAACTGATGTTTGATCATGATTGGAAATTTTCGACAACAAATTTATATAAGCCTGGAGGGAAGAAAAACGTTACTGTTAGGCTTCAGCTGCTTTTTAAGTTTACTCAAAATGCCTTGAAATACAGGAAGGCTTCTTGAAAGCTATTTTGTAACCAAATGATTGAGTTTTTCCCTTCTGATTTCATTGATTTTCCCCAGGGTAGGCCTATTTGATTTTGTAAATGTACATGTAACTGAATATTTGATAATCAAGAGAATATTTAGTCAGGACACAATGTACACGTACATGAAGCCTTCCTTTTTCTGTTTGAGTGTTTTCCTTCTATGAACAAACAACCCGGAAATACTAATTTCATTTGTTGTTGGTTAAGTTAGCTGTCATACAGGTACATGTATATCACTAATGAACGTGAGAACTTAAGCTGAAAATATGAACTGATATTTCTGTATAGAACTCATAATGCTTCCTTGGGATATGAAAGTCCTGTGCAGATAAAGGAAAAGTGCAGAGGTGCATCGTGGGATACAAGGTTTTAGATACGGTATGTACATGTACGACATAATCGACTAATACTCACTGAAGTAAGACACACCCCTTCAAACTACACATGCATACATGTACGTATAAAAACCAGAGAAAGCTACAGCATGCTCATCCATGCACACCAAAAATCACAAATGAATTCTTTCACCAATTAAAACCACATACAGGTACATGTACTCTACATTTATCATGAGACTGTCATACACGTACAAATGCACTACCTCTAGATATCAGTATAAGCCGAGTCAGAGACTAGATTTCAGCTACGTAACGAGAACGTGTCTGGTTCCATATGAAACAAACAACTCCAGTACAATTCAAGCATGTTTATCAAAAGTACCTTCTATGTGTTTATGGAAACTAACACTATGAGGTTTAACTTTCAGCTTTTCAAATCAACTTCTTTCAATAAATTCCACATTCTCTCGGTTCACAGTCACAAATAAGCTTCTCTTATGCCCAGTGCCTAAACAAGTCTTGTGAAATGAAAAACAGATATGGAGGAAAACATCTCTTGAACAATTCCAGCACGTGGTCTGTGTTTGGTGATGTTACTACGGTTACAGAAATTGACAGATTTCCAAACCAAACGCAGATCTTCACATTTCCAACTGCAATGGCATGCATCAAAGGTACTGTAAAAATGACTACCACTGCAGGTTTCAGGGTCTCACAATGCACTCACCACACTAAAAGCACAAGTACTGAACCTACCTGCACCCCTCCACACTGAGCCAAGCGCTGTGGCAACGTAAGTTTTAAAATATAAGTAAAGAAATTGCACATTATTACTAGCACACAAAACTTCAACAAAAAAATCATCAGAGCTCGCACACGTATATAATGCATATATTTGCTCAGTTAATGAGTACACTCCATGTTTGTGTTACTTTGCATTGTTTTATACCGGTTCTGTATTGAATTTCACACTTTGAAGCAGAAATTACTTACAACCCTCACCTATGCCATCTTAAGAGAGAGAAATTGACCAGTGCATACACGGAGGGGAGACAGTGTTCCTTCCACCAAGGTACATGTACTTTAACTTACATGAACATTTAGCTTCAAGGTAAACTTATGCATGAAGGTTTGCAGGGTGAACATGAACAAGCACATGTACATGTATGGAAGGTTGAGGTCACTGCATGAATGTTGATCTCCTTTTGGAATTGTACAGAAAGGTTTGGGGCAATGTTTCCGAATATAATGTCCTTTTGCTGTCTTTTTGTCTGCTGCAAAAGATCGGTTTCTACAGTACGATTTGTACAGGTCTGTCCAATGCTTTGCTTCATGAACAGTTGGGTACATGTATATAAATGTCCCATTTGATGTGCTTCCTCAAAGCCTCTATTCACATGTATATGTAACAAGTGTGGAAATAACCCATTCCCTTGTTGAGCCTGACCACTGCATGTACCGTATGGGCAGCCTTCAGGTTTCCAAGGGAAAAAAAAACTTCTACATGTATATATTTATCTTTGAATGTTACAGAATTATTATTTTCTGCATTGGTACAAACAAACAGTCCACTGATACTGGTAACATGACAGCCAGCCAGAAACCAGCTCGTGTGTAACATCACCACTGGCCAATTTCCTCAACTCGGGTAAAGGCAAGGGTCTAGGCTATATATGAGAATTTTGGAAACTATCTAATTATAATCAACAGAGAAATGTTACAGAACTGTGTGAAGAGCATCCCATGTATGAACTTGTCAAAGTACAAAGAGTACATGGAAATGTACGCTGGTAGGAACTGAGTATCATGGATCGGATGAAGCAGTTATGTAAAACTTGATTAGCAGAATATATCCAACATAGTGAGTGTTTGACCCATGTGCCCCGTAAAGTGTGCGCAACAACACAGCACTTAAACTTTGGGGAAAAAAATCCATGAAGCAATGAGCCAAGAAAGGACTATGGCTCCTGGTCTAAACTGCGGTTGAAAAGAAAGACTCTTTTTTGTCTACATGTAGCTTAGACCTTTAGCCCCAGCCAGCGAAATGAAAAGAAAGAAAAGGTGGTGTCAAGTCAATATCAAATACGACCGCACAGCCCAGAAATCAAGAATAAAAAGAATGTGCCTTTTTTTTTCACTTTTCACGACGTGAGCTAATAATAGAAACATTAAACCAATAACTACAGCAAACCAGAAATTTGTACACCAGCAACATACATATGATACATGAACACGGATCTTGCTATACTCCAATGGTTCAAACATTATTAACACAGGTGCATTTGGGGGCAGATAGGATGCTGTCTAATGGAGGGGGAACTTACAGAAATGTACATTGCTGTCTTGATCTAGTGACAATTTCAGGTCAGATTTTCTCGTACAAATTTGCGCTCTCTTGATTGTTTCTCTGGTATACGTAACACAGACTAGCAATAAATCTACAAGTAGGTATGCAGGAATACTTCAAATGCTTGTTTTTCCAAGATTTTTTTCAAACAAAAATACCAGCGGATGTACTAAAAATCCAAAAATGTATATGAGACAAATGAAGAACTACACATACATGTACAATGAACATCTATATATGAAAAAAAAATTGTCAGAATTTTGGTCTGAAATCATAAGAGAAAACAGAAGAGCTGAAAACAGGATGTTTGATTAGGATGTGGCAGATCTGCCTCAGAAGAAAAAAGTGGAAAATAAGAAACAAGTGTTGTTTGCCTCCCAGGGAGATCTGGGTAAAAAAAACAGTGACAATTCTATGGGTTAATAAGTGAAATATTAGCAGCGAGGAATGGCTCCCATTTGTTTGTTTATTTGTTTGTTTGTTCTGACCTGACTCCAATTCCTGTTCTGGGTTGTAGTCCTCGGGTTCCATGTCTGAAGGAGATACACAGGCAGAGAGAAGGCAGACCAAGGTTAATGTCTCATGCAAACAGTGAGTGCAAACAATCACAACAGTCTGATTCAACAGAGTGTCGGTGGGGAAAGAAAACAGAATCACAAGAAATTGAGATGGCTCTTGGACGTGGCGAGTGTCAGGAGAGAAGCAAATACAATGTAGTTTTCAACTTTGCACTCTGGCTCCATTTTACCAACTCCAACTCAGGCTGGATTGGTGCTAAAAACATACACATATTGGCTCAAGATCCCAAAGGAAGGCTGTACCAAGCAGAATCAGAATTAAAATCGAAATGCGTACAAAAAATCGGTGTCATTTGGTGACCAGAAAATGAAAACATACTGACTGAAAATAGATGTAGAACTTGGCAGCTGGTAAAGCAAACTGCCATTCTTAATCTGCACAGACATTTCATGCACCTGAAGTACATGTAATTTGGGCAGTTTGTAATAATATACAGTATACATTTACATGTACATCAATCAGGAAATCAACTGATCCAAAGACAAGATAAACAGGTGCATAATGGCCATGTGTAGACTTGTTCAGTGCATGTCGATAGCCTACAAAGTTGATCAAAAATTAGATACATGTACATGTGTATGGTACATTTAACTTCATGCCGTGTCCTGAACAACTCAAAATCCCATCTCTATCATTCTTACTATTCAAAGCACATTGAAAGTCATCCTGGAAGGAGGATAAATGAATATCAAACAAGTTAACGCAAGTGCTTGTACATGTAATGTGCAAACAAGGAATGTTTATGTACAATGTTCATAGCATGGCTTCAGCAAAGCAAAGACAACCCAACTTCCTTCAACACATTGCTGGGTTATAGTACAAATAAATATAAAATGTTCTGTTTTCTTTTGAAGGCATTCTATTCAACAAGTGTGTAATGCATTCCTGCACACAAAATCACATGTACATGTGCATAACGCACACATATTGGTACACATACATCTACATGCACAATGTACTGTATAAAATCTGCATTGTACATGTACAACATACATCATCATAGAAAAGCCTTCATGATTACATTCAAATCTTTGCATTGATAGTACGGAGTTTCCCTCCAAATTGATGTGCGGGGGGGAGAGACACATTTGTGGCTCAATTTCCCTCAACACCTGCAAAATGTGTGGTGCACATATTCAATCTGGTTCATTGTGAATGGAAAGGGAATGCACTGCATGTGTACTATTGAAGGAATGTAGCTACATATGGGAATCAATTATAAGACAAACAAAAAAAAAGTTTGAATCAACATATGTCAGTGTTCCAAGATGTCACACAAACATATTCAACAGACAGCCAGGTTTGAGTGCACATTTCCAATCCTGCACTGTTCAAACATACACACTGCCAGTATCAACACATTTTCTTCCTGTCTTGTTTTACGTGTGCATGTAGTAGGTGTACCCGAACGAATATGGCTTGTGATCCCATTCTCTGGGACTGACGGGAAATGTGACCCCCCCTAGCCATCAACAAGGAAGGGCATGCAGGGATGGATGTGTCAACCACGGAAGGAAACGAACAATTCATGAGTTTTGTCTTCTCTTCCGGAACAGGAAATTACAAACTCAGACCCTAAAAGGCAATGGTTTCAACAGTGTGCGCACATTAAAATTGGCACTGAGCAGTACCATTTTAGTTTGGAAATCACTGGCAGTAGCTCCTGCATGGATAAATCTTTTTTTTCCTCCTTTTTGCTGAAATAAAGGCTGGTAAGATGCATGTACAGCTCATAAAACTGCAATTCAACAATTATCATTCAAGTGTTCCATTAAGTAGGCGGTACATGTACACAAACGCGTACATGTACAATGTAAATGTAAATACAGGTGTTGTGCCCCACAACAATTAGTCACTTTTAAATAGAACTTTCCTCTCTGAATTAGACTTCTGATACCAATGTGGCTCTTCAAAAAACAAGGGATGATTAAAGTACACTTTTTCTTCTAAGTTGAAAAGGTTTACCGGTACATAAAAATGTTGAAATGCATGCGCCAAAACAGACTCAAGAAGGCCTTGATTTCCTGGTGTCCTTTGAGGAAACTCAAGTGTCAGTGTGCTAAGTGGCAACAAGTCTTCACAAATCAATGCTTTTATCATGTTTATCTTTTATTCCCATCTACCATCGATACACGTAACTCCTGTAGGTAAAAAAAAAGTACATGTACATGTACAGGTACGTGTACACCTGCTACATGTATGTACCGCATGTACATGTGCATGTAAGGTGCTATCGTAGTACAATTGAGTGCAACAGTGGGTCCACTTGTATGCACAAGTACGTACATGTACTGTACATATGTACATGAACTCGGACAGGAAAAAAACACGTATGTAACAAAATAATTAAATGCACCACTATACAGGATAAGGTTAACACAGGTTAATCTCCGCCCTTCCAAACTCCCCCTCACCACAGAAAAATATTCCCTTGTTACCTACCATCCCTTCCCAATGCCACAATTCAATCATTTAATGTAAGTAAACCACTGCATTTGAAAGCAGAGAATGAAAACGTGTTTACCGTGGCCGCTTCTACTAGGCATTAACAGCAGTTGTCAAGGAAAACAATTTCGAAAATCAGTTTAACCGAATGAATTGAGGAATTATATCTATCAAACATAACAACTATTGCCGCTCTATAGCACTGTGGCAATTTCATCTCTCACACATGTACATGTACTGTAGGCAAGCGCATATGAACAAACCAGCCAACTGCAGGTTAAACACAGACCTGCAGTTTTTAGATTACAAAATGCATGCATGTCCCTCAATATACAAATATGGGTGACCACAGTCTTACAACGTGACTACAATGTGATCAACTTTTGGTACATGCACGTAACCATTTCTTATAAATTATGCATGTAAGCTCTTTGGCAAGATTTCTGCCCATGTACACTGCACAGGAAGCCCCTCCCAAAGTACATCATTGTACATGAACATCATGAACGCCATACACATCTCTGTGTTCAATCATTTTGTGCCCTATACCAATGGCCCTAAGAATTTTGTCATACTGCAAATCAATTTGTCTGTGTATATTTTCTCTTCTCCGTGTTAATGGAAACAAAACACAAAAATTTTTAATATGCAATTGCTTTGTCAGATGAAGAACAGGTGATGAATTAAGAGAACTTACACTGCTGGCCTGGTGAGGGATTTTGCGGGACTGCAGTCGGGGCTTTCTGGGTGTAGTTGATCTGGCTGGCATTCAGCTGGTTCCGTTTGGAGGTCTCCATGGCAGGCGTGTCCGCAACTTGGGAGAACTTGGCCAGGTTTTGCTGGTGGTCCTTATGGTACACAATCTGTTCCCAGTGGTGATCAGATTAAGAAGAATATGTCTTGTGGAATTATTGTTTGCTTTAGAGGAAAGGCTTAGAATGAGTTCATCAAGACCCATTAGGCACTTTTGCTACTTTCTCTGACCCCTAGAATTCTTCCAATTCGTAGGAAACCAGGTGCCCATTTGTGTGTATAAACCTTTCACAGGGCATCAAGTCCTTCATGTATGACAAGCATGCATTTGACATTTGCAGGTGTCTTTTTTATCTTCTTGTATCTTCTGTAACTGTGAGGTTTAATTGGATCCTGTTGCTTACATGTACATGTTTTTTAAATGCCTGTGTATTTTGCAGGATTCAGTAGTGTTTACTTTAGGTTTTTCATTGGTTTGTATTTGGGGGGAATGGATACACCGTTTGTTGTGTTTCACATTGTTGATGTTTGTTGTGGTTATTGACAATTTTTATAATTCTGTCTACACTAAAACTCTTAGATATCAATAGTTGAATGATATCTTGTATTTTACATGTTTATAACTAAAGTGTAAGAGGAAGTTAACCAATGTTTGTTTCATGAAACAAATCAAATTTGAAAACTCCACGTATGCAAATGAATTCCGATTCCTGTTCCTCACCAACTTCACTTCGTTAATGGAGTGCAATAAGAATAAAAGGACGAACAAAGTCCGTTAACAAACAACTTACGTTGCTTTGGTTAGCTGTCTGCTTGGCGAGGCGTTTGTTTTCTGGTGTGTCTGCAACTGCCGTATGCTTTGTAGTCGGGTAATGCCTGTTAAATGGAGAACAAATACATTTACATACATGGACGATTAAAAGGCGAAAACAGAGTACAAGAAGGAATGCTGGCAACACCGTAAACTGGACAGCACCTGCGTGTAGAACATGTACACACACGAATCCTTCATTCATTTTTCTAACTTACAGTGCACAAGTTTTAATTCCCTTAAAATGCAGACATTGTATGGGTAAATATTCAGTTCATTCAGTGTATTCACACCTCACTGTTCAGTGCTGCACTGTTGTCCATGAGGGATTTTCAGCAGGGCTGACTGCTCTGTCAAAAGTTTATGTCGGCCTGCTAAAGTTTTGCCACCCCTCCCAAATGTACAGTGACCTGCCAGGTGTTTCCACTGGATTTTTCCCCCCTTCTATTGTCTTAACAGTTTAAGCATGAAGAAGTTTACCACACTCTGTGAAACAAACCAAGGTTGTTTGATATAAAATCAACTGATTTTAATCATTGAGTACACTCATTAAATTAAATGGTACAGGTGTACAACTACATGTACGTGTACAAGTATGCACCGGTAGCTTTGAGCTGACTGTCTCACATCAAAGCATGTGCACATGGACAATACGTAGCACAGCAAGATGAAGGGTTTAATACTGCAATGTACTTAAGTTTATCAACAAGGTCCTACATGTATTTCCAAGGGGTGCGAGTGGTCACTTGAAATTAAGGCTGAAAACAACGAAACAAAAAGCTAAAATGTAAAAAGTTTCCCTACTTCTGTAAAAACCAGGTGTACACAAAGCTGAAATTCAGGGTCAACATCTAAACAAAGAAAGCTGAAATCAGGTAAAAAGCTGAAGTCTCACACCCCTGTATTTCTTAGACAGTCTTTGCTTACGGTTGGCAGTACGGTTCTTTGTTGTAGCCCTTGTATGTCTTCATTGTCAGCTTCAGGTTGCAGACATTACACGTGAAGCACCCTTTGTGCCAAACCTATGTTATCATGAGAGAAAGACAACAAGAAATTACCTCATGTACATGGACCATGTGTACTTGTATATTTAATTGTAAAATGGCAAAGCTATCTAATTCATTCCATCCCTGGATCCCAAGAACCTGTGATGGAGACACTTACACCGTAATAAATCCCTAATCATCCCTAACCACACAGAATTCAACACCAGTAAAGTGTGTGAGTTTGTGGCATTGGGTACTGGTAGCTTACTATCTGGTGTTTCATTTTGTGTGAATGGGTACTGTGGGCCTGCACATACCCTGTTGAATTTGGAG